CGGCGGCATCATGGAGAAGAGCTCTGAGGAGCAAAGCCCGTTGGCGTAGGGGTAGAGAAGAGACCTCGATCGCTGACGGCCCGCTGGTGCGAAAAGGTCCCGAGAGTGTCCGTTAGAGAACAGTTGAACGATTTGGCTTGGGGGCATGCCCAACAATTGAGTATGTTTGTCATATTAGATTAAGTATATGGTTGTTATTGAAGCTTGAGCTAACCACAGAGCTTAATTATATTATAAATACAACGACGCAAAATATGGACAATTGGCTCCAAAGGCTTTCGGACCAAAGCTTTTGACCTAGGATTCTGAAATTTCACAAATCCTTATGCCATCCATATGTACTCTGCAGGAAAAAAAGAGGCCCAATCTGAGATATGACCGCCAAGCCAGGTCGTGGGGCCTTGGTTTTGACCTCCCTGTTGATGCATGATGCATAACCTTGCTGGTGACAGAAGGCAGATCTACCATATAGACCTACAGATCTTAAGGTTGACCTCATACTTCCTACGCGTACTTGCGAGGAAATACTGTAATCACGAATTTTTTTTAATTGAGGTGACTTTTTTGGATGTCATATGATATGTACCTCACGAAAAACCATGTCACTGAGTTCCGTCGGTCTGTCTGTCGGTCTGCCCGCTAATCCTGGAGTCGCCTAAAGTTTAGTAAAACCGCTCGGATTTTAATGAAATTGTCACACGAGATAACTACTATGCCAAAGATGAGAAAGTTTTATAGTTTTAGAAAATCGGTGTAGTGACAGCAGCTTCAGAGGCTCCTGATCATTTTCAGAAAAACTTGTAGGGGTTAAGAATTGGTGGTAGGTGGTTTTAGGGGTGGGAGAGAGATACCTCATTTTTTTACTTCAATATACCGTTCCAACCCCGGTACTTTTACGTATCTATTAGTACATATTTCACACATTATCAACTGTCCCGCAAATTTGTATTTAAAACTTGATAAATTTACAGATGGGACGATTGCAACCTTCATGCGCGAGACTCTGGTTGGCTATCGTGGTTTAGCACAGTTGCCAGATGGTCGATACTTCGGGCAGGAAAGAAACTAGCGTTATCGTTATTAAATGGTTGGGGACTATAGGGTATGGGTTAATTGTTTGGCAGACTTGATCCATTTTATTTTATACATCTTTGTAGCTAGCTCAGAGCGACTAACTTGTGCCGAACAAAACGCTTTATGAACTGACAGTGTTGCGTGGGCACCTACTTGACGGCATTTTGATGACGAATTAGATATAAGCAAAGATCAGGAAGACACGTGAGGCAAATACACCGGACATATTTCTTCAATACGGCAGCAGGAGTCATGCTGAGCCTAACAGCTTAGTTGATAAAAAGGTCAACGGATAAAAGAATCTCAGATTTGTTGGAGGATTGAAATTTTAGTGAAAGTGAAATTCTCAACAACTTTGACTTTGATATGGTACTTGGAGCTTTACAATGATATTTCCCAGGAAATGTCCCGTTAACATTTTCTTTGTTTTTAGGATATAAAAGTGAAACACTAAAGGATGTAAGGTCGAATGGATTTGTGATTTGAGCGAAAATAATTATTGTTACTCGACACGATTGAAATTAAAGACGAAAATAGCAGGCAATAAAATTTTTTATTTTCGGAAAATTGTTTGGGTTTCGCGACCATTAAGCTTACATTATAGGTGGACGTGTTATTATATAAAAATTAAAAAGGTACTGAAGTTTAAAAGTTATGGTACTGTGGTACCCACAACTCAAGGAGGGATCCCGAAGAATAGAAAAAGATTTGACAGCAGTTATACTCACAGGCCACTAGGCATGAAAGCATGCGCGCCCGCATTGATATTTCCCAGGGAGAGGGGGCAATTAGACATCGGCAAGAGGAAAATTTTTGTATATTATGATCTTGCATGGACACCCACAAAAATTTAACTCGGAGGGGGAAGTGGCGACCACCGGCAAGAGATTGTACCTGCCTCAAAACTTTTGGAAGTGCGGAGGATAGCAGTTTTTTCTGAAAATCCTAAAAATTCCTATAATTTATTATACATAAAAATCATACTAAATTTGCAAATTTTAAGGTCCAACCGGATTATCAGGGGATCCACGCGTGGGCCAGTGGCCAAGGGGGCACAAACTTCCCTGGCTTTCCTCATCCATGAAAATATTATAATCACGAAAAAACATCAAATTAGAGATAGCAGACGTGTTTTCTTGATGGTTCATTATATGACATATCAAAAAAGTAGTAAGTGGAAGTAACATTCAAATTTTGACATCATTGTGATTAGCTGATAGAAGTATTTAAACAAGTCTTTTTTCAATTACTTGTCATTTTTATTAATCATCATCGGATGTAAAAAATTAGCAATATTATATTAGCCCAAACTCTGAGATGTAAACTTGCGGATTATACGAGGGGTGTCTTTTGAGTTTTGCATATAGAAACATAGTAGGCCCGCGGATCGAATGTCAGTACTGAATCTGAACCTCACTATTTAGTAAACTTAAATTCAAAGTTTCACAACAATACGTGCAGTGTTCTCACTACAGTGAATTTTTAAGTGTCACCAAGTCATTGGAAAAATGGAACTCAACCGAGAACATTTTCGCGCCATAATTTATTACAACTTTCAGAGACAATTATCGCAGCAAGTATGCCTTGCTGAGTTACTGTCTGTTTTCGGCAACGAAGCGCCACATCAGTCGACAATTTCCCGTTGGTATGGATAATTCAAACGTGGACGGGTGAGTCTTAGCGACGATCCCAGGGTGGGTGCACCAAAAACGGCAGTCACCCAGGAAAACGTCGATACTGTGCGCAAACTCATCATTGAAGATAGACATGTGACATATCGCGAGATTGAGGCGTCTCAAAGACCTCAATTAAAAAATTTTACATGAAGAATTAAGAGTAAGAAAATCAGTTTCTCGGTGGATACCCCACCTGTTGATTGAAGAGCAGAAAGCAGCCAGGGTTAATTGGTGTCAAAAAACGCTTGACCGTTTCAATTCCGGAAACTCAAAAAATGTGTACAGCATTGTTAGTGGTGATGAATCGTTAATTTACTGTTATAAACCAGAAAATAAACGACAGTCGGTTGTTTGGGTGTTCCAAAGGTGAAGAAAAGCCAACAAAAGTCATTCGTTCTCGAAGTGTTTCGAAAAAGATGGTCGCGATATTTGTGTCAAAAGCGGGTCATATTGCAACAATTCCTCTTAATGAGCAAATAACTATTACTGCGGATTGGTATACCACCATTTGTTTGCCAAAAGTCATCACCGAGCTTCGAAAAATCAACCCCGAAAGAAGAATCATCCTCCACCAAGACAATGCAAGCTCGCACACAGCCCAAAAAGCAAAGCAGTATTTAACGGAAGAAAACGTGGAATTATTGGGCCATCCTCCATATCGTCGGTCTCCGCTCTTACAGGCGTAAATGACAAATAATCTAAAATCGAGTTACGCCGTAATTTCACAGATTTTTTTGTAGTCTCTTACTTCCCGAAATGACGTAGCTGTATATCAGTTCGCTGCTAAGAATTAAAATTTTCAGAAAATTGCCTAAATTATAAAATTCCGAAAACAATTTTCACGTACCGGCTTAAATAGATTTACGCCTCTGCGTTAAAACTGGTTCTACATCCCTTTAGTCTAACAAAAAGAAACAGCAACCTTCAGACTGAAATATCAGTATGTCACTTTCAATCTCATTTATTGCTGATTTTCGTTTTCTAGCTCTCCTGTAAAATTTGTAAAATGTTAGTTACGCCGGTACATGCGGACACCGATCTAAGTCCTAACGATTTCTTTACTTTCCCGAAAACTAAAAACAGACTGCGTGGTCAAAGGTTCCAGTCAGCAGAAAAAGCAGTTGACGCATTCAAAAATGCCGTTTTGGATCTGCCAGCAAACGAGTTGAATAAGTGCTTCGAAAATTGGTTCGAGCGCATGCAGATGTGTATTAATCTTCGTGGAGAATACTTTCAAAAACAATAAAGTTATTTAAAACTACCTACCGTGTTGTTTTATTTCCATATGCAAAACTTACAAGACATCCCTCGTATTCCATGGAGGAAACATCATGTGAAATCCCTATCGATTTCTATACCGTGAATGGATATTATCAATTATAATTGTCGTTCAGATGTTAATTTAGACAAAAACAATTTCAAGTAGCACTCTTCAGAAACGTATATGTATGTAGATATGTATAATTGTAAATGTGATCCTTAGAACACTATCTACGACTGGGCAGTAAAGTGTACTTCATAAATAAGTTTTCCGGGCGTTAGTTTTTATTCCTCTGACTATATTTATATGCGGATAGACCACAGGAACTGTGCGCATCTACTTGTTGCTGGCCAAGGGCTCAAGCTACATTCACCCGGTGATATAGTACGGTTAATCTATTGTTCACCTACTTCAAGGAGGCTCCAAATTTTTCACTTACCTTATAGACACTATATATATATATATATATATATATATATATATATATATATATATCACTATGATAATTGTTATGTACCTATCTTGGGTGCATTAAGCGTTTAAGTTCCTCGGCGTATTAGAGCCCGCGACACTTTGCACCTTGGGCTCTTATGTAACGTAACGGCCATAAACGCTTGCTTGACGCCCTATATAGGTAAATAACTTCAATGAACATTATATATCATTTTTTGTGCTCTACATAAATCAAAGAGATTGGCTGCGCTTTATCAAATCCGATTTTGAGGGAGTTCTAAGAAAAATTCCACATAATCTTTGGTGTTCTGAGATTGTGATGGAAAAATATTTAATTAAGACATCATTTGCACGTTATATCAAATGTAAATGTTATATTTCAATGTCATTTATAATTTATAAAACACATCAAAGTGATCATGTGAAATATCAAAACAACTTCTTTGATTTCAGTAAAACATTTGTTTATCAATATCAACAGTTGCAATGGAATGAAGGCACATTGCAGCACATATATGAAACATGAAAATACTCACAGTGTAAAGAATCTCGAGTAGCATGTAGCTAGTCCGCAAAGCGCACTTCCAACCTATAGGTATAAGGTAGTACCACTGGTGGGTCGCGCCGAAGAACCGCTTCCGGTGCGTCGATGGGAAACAAAAGAACAACAAGAAGAAAACAACCGCGTAGCGAAGTCGAGACGCAATCGAATGAAGTGGGCTGGAGCTTTGTTGGATGGTTGTTGAAAGTTTGGCGGCGGTAAGCGCACTATCCGCGTTCCGCGATCGGTTGCAGGATGGAAAATCTCTGGAGCGCGGTGCGGTAGGCGCGTTGACGCTCGCAAGCGAGAGCGAGTAATGCTTTCATATAGTCCAGTCCACAGGACGCATAGGCTGGTGATTATGATGTCAGTCAGTATTATGCTAACAAAACCTTATCCAGAAACTTAAATTGAACCAGAAGAAATGAGTTAACCCGCCATGTTTGTCTGGCCAGTGAAACCACATGTTTTTAAAATTCTTGAACGTTCTTGACGTTCTTCAGTCCATGACACTTCTAAAACAATATTTTCTCCATCTGCCTTCTAGGTGACACTTACTTTATTTTTTCTTTTCATTTTCAGATACCTGCCTATACAAAAGTCTGAAAGGTCCGTAGCATAGCTCAGGACCGTCTGAGGTAGGCATCCCCGCCCGACAACAGTTCTAGGTGGGTTTTCGCGTTTTTTGGGGGCTTTTGGCATTTTAGAAACATCTGGTACATTAAAAAATCGACAGAAACCTCATTCTCGCTTGTCGTGTTGGGGAGGTAGACGTCGTTTTGGGGGCGGGAATGCCAGCTCCAGGCACTCCTGGGCTATGCCAGTTTTGGGTGGTGCCATCTTAAAATGATGGCCTCGCACAATCTTACGAACCTTTCATACTTTTGTAGTAAGATACCGTATAGGTAACTGAAAATGAAAAGAAAAAACAAACGAAGTGTGACTTAGAAGACAGATGAATAAAATATTGTCAAAAAAGCGTAATGTACTGAATAAGGTCACCGTTGTGACTGAAACGTACACATTAAAGAAACATTTCAAATACATGTCGTTTTATTGTCCAGACAAAAATGGGGGATTATCGATATGAAAACCACAGGATAAGTTTCAAATGTTTCATTAAAAATGCTTTATCTTATTCACGATCTCAAACATGTTTTTAGGACGTACGTCAAAACATAAACTCTCATGCTTTACGTGTTTAGGTCGTATGTCTAGGTGATGATAGAATGCCTCCTATCTTTGATTCTCCAGATACTACAACCTCAACGGCTAAAAGAAGTTTTTCGAAATTAAAAGCGATTAAATTATCTTAAGACGTCTAGTAATATCAGCTGAGGCAAAATGTCTCAAAACACTGAAATGGTATTCGGCTATTGATTACTTGTCAAAAAAAATAGGGTTAATATATTGACTTTGTGAACGATCTGAAACTTTTTTTATATCGAAGTAGCCGCGCAGACAGAAACCTAAATGTCAGGGCACCGCGGCTCCCACGAGGAGTTTAAAGAAACTTTTGTTAATCCGATTTTTGAACTGCCTGAGGTTAGTAGAACTGGGAGAAACATTCTCGTGTCGATTGTTCCACAATCTCGAAACCCAAGGACAAAGGAGCGGTTGTATCAGCCAGTTCTGTATCTACGAAGTTCGATACGGTTAAGATGGGAGGCCGAAGTCCGGCGGGTCTGTCTGGCAAGCACATAACGCGGCAACATCATGGAGGAGAGCTCTCGGGAGCAAAGCCCATTGGCGTAGCGATAGAAGAGAGCTAAATCGCTGATGGCCTGCCGGTGCGAAAGGGTCCCCAGACTGTCCATTATCCTTGATCAGTCGGGCAGCCCTCCTCTGAACAGCATCGAGCATGTATAATGTAGTCGGGGCAGCAGAACCCCAAACATGTAAGCAATACTAGAGGCTAGATCTTATATGGGCGTTGTGCAAACTGAGGAGGTGATGTAGAGAAAATTACTTGTCAGCCTTAAAAAATAGCCTAGCTTTTTACCAGCAGCTGCCGTTATTGACGAGATGTGGTCGTGCCAAGTCGTTGATTTGGACTCTGACCAGCCAAAATGAATGGCTCTTTGGTAGAACTTCGCCGTTCGTCGAAACTGGATCAGCGATAGGATGCTTCTTTTGTTCGTCAATACTGTGTTTTGGAAGATTTAAACTGTACAAGATTGTTGCGTCCCCAAGCAGGGATAACCTCCAGGTCTCTCGTTAGAAAGGAAGTCGCTGCTAGCGTTTCTTTCCTCCAGCTCACCGTCAGAGATCGGCTTGTCACTCCACAATTCCTGCGTGTAGGGTGATGTCATCTGCAAAGCTGTAGATTATTGATCGTACAGGAAAAGAGGTCGTTGATATGAAGAACAATGTCGATCCCTGGGGAACACCCGCGTTGACATTGTGGGATGAAGAGGAGAACCCGTCAATTACGATGGATATCTTGTGGCCTGGTGGCCAGTTGTTTCGTTTTTGCTTGTAATACCGCTACCATATAAATAGTTTCCTAAACGAAGTAGGTGTACCTACTACGACTTCATATCATGCTGCTTGGCTCCCAAAATCTCATCCAAATAATCGGTGCAGTTGTTTCCGAAATTACGAAAGTAACTCCCTGACAGACGGGTTTGCAATGATACGGGTTTAGACATCGCAAAACATAAAGAAATTCGTGGGGAAGTAAAGAACAAGAAATGCGTACATTTATTTGGCCATTTTGGCGTGTTGTATAAATGAATATATGTAATCAATACATTAATATCAAAATGCGAGGATTTTTTTTTGTGAAAGAAAGTTACCTTAATAAATTGAACTTCCATTTGCGGCAAGCGGTAGACAACCTTAGCTGATGTTTTTCTCTGCAAACTAACTTTCTATAAAACCGCATTTGAACCATGGCTTTATAGAAGTAGACCAATAATGTTAGAGAATTTGGGGTTAGAATATTGAAAGGCTATGTACACGGTTTTATTTAAAAGCGTGTGTAAATTAAGGGTAACAAAGCGAGGCAGAGTTGTCACCCCACCATGAGCATAGCGCTGTGCTTTTTTCAAAGAATTTTCCAAACAGAAACAAAAACAAAACAAAATTATTGAAGTCACATAATTTTTCTTATCACCCTTTGATAATTTCAATAACAATTTGACGACTTAACAATTTTCCAAATAACTCTATAAGTGTTTAAAAGCTCGGCACATAATTTCCGGTGACAGTACAGGGTGACTTCGAAGTTGAGTCATTTATTTTAACAGTGAGTAGATCTGATCAAAAGAAATGTTTTTTCCTTTACCATTTTTCTGGTAAAATTAAAGTAACAAAGTTATAGCCCTTTGGAAGTTTGAGTACCGCCCTGTCTCAATAATAATATTATGTGCTCGTGTTTGGCGACAACGGATATAATACGCCTTATCGGTTCATCGCATCGGAAACAAAAAAGCGAAAGAATTTGGAACGATGTTTTTACAATTATTTCATTCAGTTGTATACAGTCAGTGTCAGTCGGTAGTGGATAGTGGTGTCTGTTGCGTGGCTCAAACGAAATAAAAAATGGCACATGTTTATGCGGATCGGTTTCCCAATCGAGTGCAACCAACCCCTCGTGCCTTTGTTAATGTAGTACAACGGGTTCGTGAATCATTCGACTTAAGACCTCACATATGGACGGCATGCCGGTGCTCCAAGACCTCACGATCAAATACAGGTCCGCACTGAAATACTTGTCGGGAGGATACTTTATAAAGCAAGGTAAATTTTTTTTTTATTTTTACACACATATTTTGGTTTATCTTCCTTCTACAATCATTATCTGAAAATTAATGACTCAACTTCAAAGTCACCCTGTATATGTAATTAAAAGATGCCCAAGATATTTTGGAAAACCCTTTTTGCCTATTGATACAGTTCTTCATTGAATTGAATTTGATGGTAGGACCATCAGGGCGTGCCAACATCCTAGAATATATTTAAATTCACTTGTAGCAATAGGAAAGCATCGACTTACTCCCTGGAATGCGTAGATTCAGGTTTTATATCAATTTGGTCTATTTAATTTTTTAATTATTATCATACTGAAATTCGGCACAGCACAAGAAAACACCTTGTGGTAAGAGCAATAAAAATTATACTACTATTATAAAGACGTAAAGTTTGTGAGTTTATTTGTCGGAAGTAAACTCTGAAACTACTGAATCGATTTTGAAAATTACTTTACCAGTAGAAAGCTATTATTAATGAATGATATATGCTATATTTGAATGTGATTAATAATATTTAATAACTTTAATGCGGAATAACAATATTTGCAAAGAATTACGAGCGTTCAGTCGCTAATCTGTCCTGATCGGCCACTCACTTATAAATATAGGCTCGTAACGGCAAACGCACACTCATCGAAAGTTACTGATAAAAGAGTTACGGGACAATATAATCCACAGATACCCATTATTCCGATGGATTTGGTAATATCGTTCAAAAGCCTGCAGTTTCCAGTCAGAGTTTCATTTACCTCACGATAGATAAGTCTCAGGGTCAAACGTTCTCTCTGGTAAGCTATAACTTGAGAAAGGAGTGCTTTTCCCATGGGCAGTTATATGTTGGCTTATCTCGAGATGGAACTCCGGTAAATCATTATTCTAATAGACAATCGTACATCACACAGTATACAAAGAAGTCCTAAACAATTAACATACTCGCCCAATACATACTAGCAGCCCATAAGAAATAAGCGTAAATTAAATCCTAAACACTCAGTACTAAGAACCACACAAAATAATTTCATCACAAGTAAAACGCTCCGCGAAATGGGCATGGGTCGCCTAGTAAATATGAACAAATTCTAAATACTTGCATAATCTGTCTGTTGTTGCCCGGGTAAATCGGGCACGGACACTCCAAATATAACGTCAATTTTTTGCTGGAACTGACTGATCACCCTATGCGGATTATTTTTTGTTTTTTGTTGACCTCCACGCTATTTCAAAATTTTTTACATATTTATATTCGGATGCAGCGTGCAATTTTTTTTAGGCTGTTACGTATCTTGAGGGACATTACGTAGATTTTTTCAACATTATATTGGGTTTTTGTGACAGTGTGTAGGTTTTTCTACAAGATGTTAACTTACCACTACCTGATGGGCATTTGCTGTGAACTCGTTTTGTAGTTGTACCTGATGCCTAAACGTCATGATGCTTCAGTTAGCAATGTTTGGCTCTGATGTACAATCTGCTTCAGAGACGGCATTATTGGAGGTATAAGCTGTAAGTTGTATACTATAGCTAGAAGGAAACGACAGTGCATAACCAGGATTTGTGCGCCAATAATATGTATTGATTATAATTCCATTGGTTTTTTGTCTCAAATACACTTACTCGAGATTCCAAGCTAGAAATTAGTTACCATCCACTTTTTCTCATTCATTCTCGAAATCACAAATGCAAATTTGCTGGATTGTAAACATGAGAGATAAGAAAAGAAAATCCCTGGTTGGTGAAGGAACAGGTGAGAAAATATGCTATAGACAGGAATATTTATGAAAGTGAAACGGTTATTACAATATTTTTTATTTACAGTCATTTAAATTTCATAGAAATTCATTTTGTCATTCCTAATTTTTTTCTGTGATGTGAAAAATCGTAATTTATAACTTTGAACATAAATTGTCTTCAGAAAGGGCAACATATAAATAACCGGTAGGGCACAGCTAATAGAATATACTTCATTTGTAATACAAACATCGGGTGCAAATCAGCGTTATACTATAGGTGTAAATATTTCAATGCGATTTGTTCCTCTTGTGATCGAGAAAAATCTGTATTGGATTGTTACCGAGATTGGTACCTTGGTGTGATATAGAATCGATATATTAAGAACTATTTCCACATTCAAGTACTGGCATACTTGTATACATTTATTTGTTTCTTATTTTTTTTTTTTTTTTGTTCCGCAGTTATTAAATTATTTACTTACTTTCGTTGTTGGTATATTTCCTGTAATTGGGTGTAACCTGTTTCTCGCATGCAAATATCCAGATGCGATCTTGCTACTCAACCAACTTTCTTTCATATCTTCTCAGAGATATACACTACAGACTACTCGGCTTCACAAAACATATACCTACTTGTTTTCTGCAACTAACAATGCATGTGGTCGAGTCATTTGTCCATAGATGGATGCTCACAGCGATCATAGCGGGCAAACGTGGAATGAACTATTTGCACCCTAAAAACTATCTAGTCTGCAAGATGACATTTTGTTGTTTTTTTTTTTTTGACGTTTTATAGATTTTTTACATAATAGCCTTGCCGATTTTCATTTAAATGTAACGAGTTATATCTGGTAACGAGGCACCAAAATTTAAACTCGAGTATCAATGACCTGAACCTAAACTTGTTTCATGGCCGAATCAGTTCCGCGAACTCCGATTCTGTCGTCGTGGATCAAAAGCAATTGTCAAAAAGCTGTGAAATAAAAGTACATAGTGCGTGAAAAAAGTTTATTTGACTAGATACATAAAATTAATCATTATATCCATAAGTAATGCGGTGAATCGGTGTCATTTACCTTCAAAATAAAAGCGACTATTATCACAAAACACAAAAACTTATTTTTTGATCATAAATGTACAGTCATAAGCCTGATCAATCCTCTAGAAGTATTCGTATATTAAACACATATTTTCTCAATGCTCATCATAATAATAATCAATGCCCTGCGAGGAGGATATTTTCCTCAATATATAAAAATTTAGCTTTTACATAATGAATACTACTAAAAAGGATTATATTATATACAGGGAGATTCAATTCATGCCTGTGGTTTAATTGAAAATTTATGAAATGAGGAAACAAGTAACATTCGCCACCATTGAGATCGCAATACGACACATAACACAGTCATGAATTTGCTACTTACCCTGTATGTATTATTGTATACGATCTGAATATCCAGTCTTTACTTTATACGTCAACCTTATTTCTATAAAAATTGAAGCTCGAACTTGATAAAACTATTCCCGTGCGATATCTAACAAAATGTACAGTCAGCGTCCATAAGAAATGTCACAAGCTGAACATGATTTTTTTGTCTGCATCCGCTTCTTTGTTGTAAATTAATTTTGTAACTATAGAATAATTTTTTTTAAAAACTAAAGGTCCATCGAACTGTTCACACCAAATGGATTAGTTTATGACAATGCGTCTGGCGCGGTACCATTCAAGTTTTCACTGTAGCGTTCGGATGTTCGTCCATGGTGTGCACAACTGGTGAAAAGAAACCGAGCCCACGGATTGATATCGTCAAGTCTTTTAAGAAGAAATATTAATGGGGTGACATCGCTATAGTCCTATACTGTACATTATTGAGCTACTACACAATCCTAGAAAAAAATTGACCCATAATGTGTAGTTTACGCATACGTCTCAATCAATTTTTTCGATACATCCACAAGTCTAAATGCCAAAAAGTTGACTTCCTTATTATTCAGTTACTTTTAGCTCCCATAAAATGGCATCTATCTGGCGACTGCAAAATGTATTTATTAGCAATCCAGTCGCATGTTAACACTTTATTGGCAAATTAAACAAAATTCATTCTCTAAGATCTACGAGTATAATAAATTCTCAAACACTCCTGGCAGAATTTAGAGGCGCACATATCACAGCAAGTGTGACGTTATAAGTAACATCACAGAACATCTATTGGCGGTAGTAAGAAACGTCGCGAGCTGTACGAGTGTTGCCGAACCTACAGATTTTTCGGTATTTCTACTGAAATGGACCTTCCGAAATACCGAAATCATCCTCATTTTTCACGTTTATTTTAAAATAGTTTGGTTATTTCCAGGTTTTTTTTTACCGAAAAAGATCTGCAATTAAGCAAAAAAATTAAATATGTAGATTATGTAGTTTTATGCAGCATTCCAATCATACATATGCGAACCCTTTAAACAGTCGGGTACACGGCAGACGTAGATTTGGGTTGCCTATAATTATGTAGGCGCAAACCTCACTCGCTTTTCCGGGATTAGTTTTTGCGCGTAAAATACTCGCCAGTTTTTAATTGAATTAAACTGTACGGGCTAAGTTCAAGGATAAACTATACACAATCTTATAAACAAGAATGAGGAAAGGAGTTTCCCGGATGGTTGCAAAGGAATATGAAGTGCGACTAGTAAGCTCATTATATCGGGTTTTTCAATATTGACTTGACAACTTTGAACTTTCACTGTGAACGCTCCTTTTAATCAGTTACCGAACTGTCAATGTCAAAACATTCAATAAAGAAAACATTTTCATCATGGTGAAGTACACGAACGAACAAGGCTTACAAATAATTAAAATTTACTACCGAAATTTCGAGTGGTGACTCCACGGCGTTCTCAAGAATTGGCCATCGCTCAGACCACACTATAGCGAATTTTGCGAAGATTTCTTGGCCTGCACGCTTATAAGATCAAGTTTACTAAAGAACTAAAGCCGTTTGATCATAGGAACCGACGTACGTTCTCAAATTTGGTCCTAGAAATGTTGCAAGAAAATAACCAATTTCATCGCAAAATCATCTTCAGTGATGAGGCGCATTTTTGGCTAAACGGCTTCGTCAACAAACAGAATACGCGTTATTGCTCAGGTGAAAACCCTCATATGCTTCAAGAAACACCACTTCATCCTCAAAAAATAACTGTATGGTGGGGTTTTCATGCCGGTGGTGTCACTGGGCCGTTTTGTTTTTTTTTTTCGTTAATGAAAATGACCGTCACGCGTCACGTTACAGTCAACCGAGACCGCTACAGAGACATGTTGCAACGGCACTTTTTGGTCAATTGGATGGGCTAGACATTAATGATATGTGGTTTTAACAAGACGGGCCACAAGCGACACAGCGGGTGAAACACTCGACATACTGAAAACAAAATTCGGTGAACGTGTTATATCGAGAAATGGTCCTGTCGAATGGCCGCCTAGATCATGTGATTTAACACCTCTAGACTTTTTTGTGGGTCTACACTAAATCATTGGTCTATTCCAACAAGCCGGCGTCGTTAGAGGAGCTCAGAGCCAATATTGAACGGAGATAGCGGCCGTTGCTGTCGAAATATGTGACCGAGTCATTGAAAATTGGGTTCAACGAATCGAGCGCTGCGTACGTGCCCGTGGTGGACATATGAACGAGGTCGAATTCCATACATAAATGTTTTGATCAATCCAATAATAAAATTCTCGAGATATCTCAAATGGTTTAAATTTTATTTGAAAAGAAAGTTGTCAAGTCCTTAATGGAAAGCCCTTTACAAGTTGTAATAAAGAAGTTGATAATTTTTCGTGAAAAGATGCTTTCAAAAAACATGTAGGATTTCACCAAAAATATACTACTTTCATAGACGGCTCTGCGTGACGCAAAGGCCCTTGATCTACCTCTAATCTTGCAATCGCCGTGATTTTTTCCTTCTTCCGATTGGGTCCTTGAATCTACCGAACTTGAATGACACTATCTACCGATTTCGATTTTTTGATAACACTCCGGTACCTTCTAGAGCGATCGAGAACAGACAGTGCAGGCAGTCAATTGAAAGGTGAGAGTCTCCGTCAATCAGCAAGCGAGCGAATCGCGACTCTAATATAAATTGTTATTAGTGATGTTATAAATTAAATAATAAATTACTGTTAGTTTGTTCAGTTGTGTTTTCGCGCATAAATAGAATAGATGCTATCTTCTGAAATAAACGTTGTCTTTCCAAGACTGAAAACATTGATTGAGGTATATGCATAAGACTACTAACACATTTCTAAATATTAAATGTATAAAAATCTTTGGCACTTGTTTAGAATACTTATAATGTATGTGTGAAATTGGAAAGATGACAAAGACCGCATAGTAAAGAATATAAACGATAATATATAACTCGATACACTATTAAGTAGCTTATAGCTTAAAATGTAATTTTCACTTAGCTACCCAGTTTATGGTACTATAATAATGATATGTTGTAAGCAGTAAAAAAACGGAGTATACAGCCAACGAGTAAAAGAATAACAAAGTTGTCGTTTGCGGTTGAACTTCAGAAAAGGCTGACTGCGTGTCAGACACCAAAAAATAACGTGGATTTATTTGGGCACTTGTCAATTAAAAATAGCTGGCCCTAATAAATTCTGCTGCAAAAATGGGTACATTAACAATTGAAGAAATTCAATCCGATTGAAAATAATTGAAGCAGAATTTTTATAGAGGATCCAACAATGGAAAACCTTCGTTATAATACCATAAACCATTTTAAGCGTTGAATATACGCATTTTTCGAAAGAAAAAAAATGCATAAAACAAACCAAATTTACGATAACTTAATACTACTGATTTGTGAACATGGCGATCTTCTATCTAAACAGCTAACATATTTTGTAATAAAATATACGGCAAATATAGTATAAATATGAGAATAAGATAATAGTATTTCAACTTAAATAAGTGTTGGGGAAATTTCACAAAGTAAAATTAGTTTCAATCTGTATACTATGTTTTCTTTTTGCTACAATTAGCTGTTTAGGAAAGAATACTACCTGTCTTATATGAACCAAAATGAACTGACACTTAGCACCATACATTTACTAAACTTATTTTAATGTACACTTCCAATCCTTTAATGTGGCAGTGATCTAATTTTGTCTAATACCGCGATTGAGCATCAAGTATTCCTTTACTATTTAGATTTTTCTCAGTTCATTTTGCTTACGCTAAGTTCATTCACATCAAATAAAAATAAAATGAAAAACATATCAAAAATATATCTGAGACTAAAAACGGATAAATACATCTTGCATTAGAATAGAGAAAAATATTTTGATTATAAGTTTTGTCGACAGTAGATGCTACCTAGATAATCTACATGTTCAAGGGAATATATTACACACAATATAAGTTATATATACAGTTAGATAAGTAAGATATGTGCTGTGGAGAAAACCTAAATCTAGAAATAAATTATACTTATCACTTTTTCAATTCGAGACAAAGAAACGTGTGCCGTTCATAATAAGACAGATTAAGAATGGCAGGATATCGATCAATTTCATGTTTATTAACCACGTTTTGAAGCCTTCTTAAAATGAGGAAGACTTGCCTTGTGACTCGAAAGTAACAAGAACAAGATAGTTGACATTAGCATGTGTCAATACTGTCAATGACAATTATGCATCCTCACAACAAACAGGTATCAAATGAGAATCGAATGTGATTGCACAACTCAAATTTGTTTCCTACCTCCTCTCCTCTGCTACAAAATGCCTTTGATGGTGATCACACTATTTTTTTTTTGTATTCATTCGAGTTTTTATATATATATTACAACGAAATTACATTCAGAACACTAAATCGATGCGAGTACAAAAATCAAAAGAAATCGCTTGTTATACAACACACTTCTCCAAGATTCATAATGTAACACATATGAATATTTCCATCATAAGAAACGTTTTGCAACTTGATAGAATTTCGCAAATAAATAAAGGTATATTGAAAGGATTTAAGTGAAGGCAGAAACGCCATTACTTGAAACTTGAGTGTCTCAAGAAGGTTTGCTACTGTCCAAAAGTTTCATGGAATTGTTTGATCAAACTCGTCGTTCGTTCGTACATAATTATTCTGGGGTGTAACAACCTCCAAAGCTGCGCTTGCTGTTTGTCGATTAGTATTTTTTTCGGTGTCATGTTTGCACATAAAAACATTCATACTGAGAAACCCATATTAGTATATATAAGATGGCTCCAAATTGCTAAAAAAACGGTGATGGAAATATTCTACGGCATCAAGAAAAGTGTATACCATTTCCGATTTAAGCGCTTAGCGTTGCGCCCTCTGGTGGCCACCATTGTAAACTCGATTATTGAAAAGCTACGGTAGCGGTGAATCGAAGCTAAGTTCAGACACATGAGCTACTGTAGTTGTTCGAGAAGTTGCAATTGTCGATATCAGCCGTCCAGTTGCGTTGTAATTTTGTTCTTAAGAGTAGTGATCATCTCTCACATTTTATGAAAGAACATTATAATAATGGTTATCTAGAGAGTTTTTCCAAGTATGAGTTTCTGGCGATCTCCAATAGTAGGTCAGTGGGGATAAAAATGTGGATCAGAAATGTCATGGGAAATTGGATTGGATTGTTGTACTTAAGCACTGATTAAATTTAAAAAGGGATCCGAAATATACTAGCGCCATCTAGGAGACAGTAGCAGAACACAAAAATGAATTTAGAAACCTAGCTTGAGTTAGAGTTAGCGTGTTTGCAAAAAGATATTAAAGATCCTAGCGCCACCTTTGAGGGAGTAGAAGAACTACTCAAACTCTTTTCAAAGTAAATATCTAAATTCATTTTTTGTTCTACCCTTTCAAAGATGGCACTAGTATCTTCCAGATCGTTTTTGGAATACAGTATCTGGTTGGCTGTTCAGGAAAATACGTTAAATGATTAAGTCACTGATTGTCGGAAGCTTCTTGTTCGAACTGAAAGTTTTGTCTGTCAGCTTCTTCTCTAGTGGGCCCCACCAGGGGCGTCATATGAAAATCTTAAATTACCAATATAACTAGTACGTCTAAACGAGATGAAATCACACTTGTATGCATTATTATCTTAAACCACAGTCGATACGGATGTCGCGTGTAACGGCGACTTGGGCATGTGGAACCTTAGCAGCTCCGTTACGGTGATCGCCACCTGCACCAAACCTTTACCTTCCAGGACGTCCGAAGCACAGCATATCAGATTCTGAAAATAAAACCAAAAACCTCTTTAATATCTATTCAAATTTGCGCGCCTCTATTTGCCAATGGGCCATAAATGCTTGGGCGTGTCAGCGACAAGCGCATAGAAATCATTATAGTTCGTGATACGCATGATGGACATCAATGAACACAGATACATTTTAGAAAATCGCAAAAAATGTGGAAACGGTTATATCCGAAAACATCCTGACGACTCAAACAAGCGTCGAGAACTGTGACCATTAAACACAAGTAGATAACCGCTCAATCTCTTGGTTGAAATTATCAAAACACACAGATATCAGAGAATGGAAAAGATCCTATCAGATCCAAATGATGAGAGGAGGATGCAAGGAGGAAATGAAGCTGATTGGTTGGATATTATAATCTAATAATACTATATTCGCCGGTCCGACCAACGTACGTGTACAGCGCTGTTTTATGCTTATATGCAATTATCAGCACTGTGTGTGTAGGTCACTATGTGGGGCAACAAACGAAAACAGAGCAAAAGTATTCACTATTAGAGGTATAAAGTCTATCCAAATACAACAGCCATCTATTACCAGAACCAACCACTGATTGTGTTGTTAGTTTTGGTATTTAAATCATAAATTAGCAAAAAGGGTAAAATATGGCCAAGTTACCAGGCTTTGCCTTCCAGCTTGTTACTATTACTGGAGTGTGTTATAACTTACGAACTCAACCAATGTTCACCTCTTACCTCTGTTTAACTGATCTTAAGCAATGTCGTTCTTTTCTAAATGTTCTCCCATTTCAAAATACAATATTTAACTCTTATACTTTACTAATGCACTTCTTGTACTTCCCTGTACTATGCCAGTGAGGAACATATAATAGGTAAACTACAAAAATATACTTAAAAAGTTTTTATTAAGAAAGCTGCGTATATACTAATACTTTGTAAAGCAAAATACATACTTCTTAAATAGAAACGCTGATCCGCTCCAATAATAAACATATTTTAAATAAACAATGATACACTAAATGATATACATATAACTAAACTTGTACTATCAAAGCAAACAGTAAAAAAAAAGTATAAAAAGTCAGACTGTAGTAGTGATCATATAAAAGTTGCAACTAAATTTTACATCAAAGGTTGATATCCAGTCAAGTTAGCTGCAAAAATTATAGATATCACATTCTTTGTTTTAAATGAAATGAATAGAAATGAAACTAAACGAAATGTTTGAGTTATGTAAGATTTTAAAAATTTCAAGATAATATTAATATAAAAATTTCATAAAAGTAGGCTCACTGGCAAGACGGTTTTTCATCAACCTCCGAAAATGATACATCAAGATCTTTGCCCAATATGCTGTAACATACTAGGATCATACTTACATCGTGACATGAATCTAGCGTAATTTGGAGGTGACGTCACGCTCTACGCGTGACAAGTGACATGCTCACAACAGGCAGCCGATAGAGAATACAATGAATGGACGAACTATCAGATTTTAGGGAGAAAAAGAGCAAATTAGGTTCTTTCAGCTGAATCAGATTCCACATGTTTATCGCTCTTTTAATTAATTGCAGTGTAAAAACGAAATAGAAAATTAGTCATTTTGCAATTCATGTCAACAGGTGTAGTGAAACGGAACGCTTACCAAATGGACGTCTTAAGGCGGTACATCCCTTTTTTAGATTTCTTTTCAATTTCTTGTTTGCAGCAGTATTCTAAATCCTTTTCATCTGGTAACTTCATGGTGTGTATAGAGATGACTAAAAAACAATGGTTTCTTTTTTTTGCCAGAAAATGCATTCTTTCTTCAATGGGAACTTGTTAACATATATAAGTACAGCTCTGAAGTTGTGTGTGAATATGCCTTTTGTATGAAATAATGAAACGAGTGATTACTTTTTTCTTTTCGAAAATGTTTTGATTTTCTTCAAGCCTCGTCTCACTGCAAGTTGAGTTTTCAAGAAAAGCAAAGATTTTTCGAAAATGGAAAGTGATAAGAATAAAAGTGATTACTCGTTTCATACCTCCATAAAATAGGAATATTCACACACAATTTCAGGGCTGTACTTATATTTGTTAACAAGTTCCGATTGAAGAAAAAATGCACAAATGCATTTTTTTACAAAAAAAGAAAACGTTTTTAACTCATCTCTATAAGCACCATCAGATGAAAAGGATTTAGAATACTGCTGCAAACAAGTAGTTGAAAAAAATCAAAAAAATGGACATGCCACCTTAAGCGCTTCATAAGTGGAGCAGTATAAAACGGTATAGTGGGCAATAACCTTAAGGAATAACAAATATTCATTAGTAGCCATAGTCCCTAAAATACTGTATGTGTTAATTAAGGGTGTCCCAAAATTCATGGAAGATTTGGACTAAATATAAACCGCAGTACTTTTTCTCTAGATTATTATTTGTTTACAAGATAGGGCTATGTGTGGAATAACATATCAGGCAAACAGCCTTTGGCTTTACTGGCACATACGCATCCTTTTATCGATATCTTCCATTACCATTTTGCATAATTCTGGCTGAATCTCATAAATACAAAATTGGATATCCTTCTTTAATCGTGTCAGTCTGTTTTTTTCTGTCTAAACTGGACAATATTGATGTGGATAAGGTGTGATTTTCAGAAGACGATGTAACATGCCATATATCTTGTATAGCAATTCAATTACTGCATGATCCATTTTCTGGTCATGTACGCTTTCGTTTCGGTAATCACAACAGTTGCCCCCTAAATCGTGTGACAACACCTCTTGATTTTTATTTGGGTTGGGGGCTATTTGAAGTCAAAGGTCCATGTAGGGTTACCAGATGGGATTCTTTCGACATTGTATATGATGTCCAGAGTACCAGCAAAATATAAATTGTCCCGACACATAACAAAACCCAAATTTAAAATTACGGAAATTTAAAAATACGCTGTTCAAAAATCACTTCACTGATTCGATTAAACAAACTGCGTGTGTGCATGTCGCGTGCCTATAAAAATTATTTTGTTGTAATAACGTTAGTAATTTTAGAATACAAAATAACTTTCTAATTCGTAATATGTATTTGACAAGACTTTTCAAGATTTTGGTCATCCCATCTGGTAACCCTAGGTCCCTGCCAACAAGCCCACAGACACTCGCGCAATGAAAGGAAAAATTCAACATTGCTTGAATGAAATTCATACACATCTATGTAAATTGGCAATGGAACATTTCGGTAAAAGAGCGCGTTTGGCTTGCAAAGGCGAAAAGGCAATTTCCCTGACCTGCTGATCTATTCATAACTCCATCATGTGAACTTTACGATCCAATAAAAAAATACCAATCCAAAAAAAAGAAATTCAAATTTTGGGACACTTTTTAGAATAGAATAAATATAGGAAAGCGCAATTACAAAGCAGTCTTTGATTTACCTTAATACTGGGTATGAAACAATGACTAGATTGTCTGTTGTGTAGAAAACTTACAAATAATAGAAAAGTACAAAAATTCCATATTGTGACCAAAATTGACTGTAGTTGCTGTGATATCAGGCTGCTTGCAATCTCAGAGAGCGTAACAGAGTGAATTCATATGATGTCAAGGACTCAAAAATACTTAAAAATATCTGAAGAATGATGAAAAACATCTTATAAAGTCTCATAATTTCATATCTGACCAGATATAGTGTAACAATCTGAATGTTCTTGAGTCCCCATCATATATCACTCGTGAAATAATCATAATCTAATTTTAATTAAATAAGGAATGTAAATCAGTACGTAAATGAAATGAATATAAACCTAAAATACTCAGAATTCGATATTTAGCTCAGAATTTAGCACCTAAGTATATTTCCCTCAACCTTCAAAACTAAAACTAAATACATCTTTTCCACTATTATGAATCTTCTTAAGGCGCTGTTATAGTGTTATAGCTAAAAATAATTTAAATATAATAAGGATATAAATACGAATTTTGCAAAACAGTAAAATAGGTAGATTAACAATAGATCATATGTATAAGCCATAGACTAGCATTCTATTTCAACATGAGATATACTCAATAGTCTAATCATATTACCAAATTTCCCCGAAATAATTATTGTAATGTCTGGTTTAATTGGTGCAAGTTGTTCAAGGGGTTATTTAAAACATGGACGTATAAAATGGGTACACCAATTTTTCTGGAAAAACTTTTTGTTTGACAACAAACAATGAGAAAACGTGTTTTTTGGGATTCAATCGGAAGTGTTGACAGGAACGAGAAAACTTCACATAAGATTTGCAGGTATTTATGAGACCTACAAAATGAGACCACACGTAAAAAGATCCCACTAATAACAAAAATGTTATATATATATATTATGTTGGTAATACGTCGATAATTTCTTCAAATCAGCAGGATTCATACTTCTAAATAACAACAACAAAATTGGAGTATATTGGTTAGGTAGTTTTTTGAGAATCTCTAATTGTTTATTCCAAAACACCTGTTTTTCGGCCATCACCACTTGTTTATTGAGCAATATATAGGGTTCGTTCAAAGAGCATTTAATAGCAAAATACACGTGTTTACCTTGCCGATATGAATCACAAATAATTCCGAAAGACAAATTTTATTTTTATGCGAAAAACATTGTTACGTTATTTCTTCTAAACAAATTCAAACGTTTCGTATTGGTGGGTAAATGAACAAATGCGAAAAACATGCGTTACTATACACATTTTAAAACAAAGCGGATGTCATCATATTTCGTTGTGAATTACTCACAAATACGAAATGTTTGAATTTGTTTAGAAGAAAAAACTTAACACATCCTTTTGAATAAAAATAACATTTATCTTCCGGAATGGTTTGCGATTAATATCGGTAAGGTAAACTAGTGTATTTTGCTATAAAATGCACTTTGAACTAACAATGTATACTGCTCAATAAACTAGTAGTGGTGGCCGGAAAACAGGTGTTTTGGGATAAATAATTAGGAATTCTCAAAAACTACTCGACCAATCTACTCCAATTTTGTTGTGGTTA